GGAACCATAATAACATGGTCACACCTTCGTCATTTGAACCACATTGGTTCAACAATATAGGAATGTCATTAATGACTATGTAATACTCTGGGGTTTCCTTACGCATTTATGCATATGTGCACACTTCAAAAAACAGTACTGTTTGTTGACAGGCTAATGAAATGTAAATATATATTTAAATGGAATAACAATTATAGAATGTATCGCTTGCGTGTTTTGTACAAGATGATCTATGTAAGTCCACATGTAGTACTAACAAGAAATTATGCTTCTAACCTCAGGTCAAAGCTGTAGTTCCAAACACAGAAGTCTGCAATGCTGTTTGCGAATGCTGGATCTATGGTTTCAGAAAACGCAGAATCGTGGAACTATGTTAGTTACGTCAGAATTTCGACTATAGTTTGCAAGCGATGCTTTTGGGAAACAACACCCCAAGTCGAGAGCTGTAGTTACAAACACAAGTTTGTGAATGTTCTTTGTAACTGGTTTCAGGGAACGAATCGTTGAACTAAGTTAGTAATGGCGGAACTTGCGACCATAGTTTGTTAACAGAGCTTTTGGGAAACACACCCCAAGTTGAGAGCTGTAGTTTCAGCCACACATATTTGTGATGCTCTTTGTGAATATTCTTTGAAACTATGGTTTTGGGAAACGCAGAATCATTGAACTTTTAGTAACAAGGTATTGCGACCACAGTTGGAATAACCGTGCTTTTGGGAATTACCTGGTGGGGCATTTGACTGACAACTGGGCAGGGCTTCCACACAGATTAGTGGGTGTGGCTTTTGACATTATGTGGGCGGAGCTTGTGTCTACAAGTGTGTCTCTGTCACCTGTGGCATAACGACATTGATAAAACGGCTTATCCTGTGAATGTGCAGTTGCGTCCTAGAGGAGATGATATCATCACGCTGTTAGCAGTCAGACAGTGTGTGTGTGTGTGTGCGTGTGTGTGTGTGTGTGTGTGTGTGTGTCAGAACAGAATCATTAATTCCAACCAGGCTCAGACAATCGCATCAACAAATCCCATCTCAGTCTAGTGTATTTGACCCTAGTGAAAGAACTGCCAGCAGGGAGACTGTTTGTGTAGATTAGAGAGATAAAATTGCACGGCACCAGAAGGAGCTTTTACATTGACACCCACACTGACCATTAATGAAAGATATTTGAACAGTGAGCCCTGGCGGAGGGCTGTGCGGTAGGAGTAACTGATATTTATAGTGATCCTGGTTGGGGATTGGAGGGTATTTGTTGAAATAATGTTGTCGTTATCGGTTCTCATGTCTCTGGGACATTAGGATTAGCAGTAGATAGATGAGATGGGCGTTCAGTCGCCCGCTGCAGAGCTCCACTCACGTGTGGAGAAACTCCTGAGTCTCTCACCACAGGCAGAAGATTATGCTGCATAAATAAACACAAACTGACAATTTTTGTGAGGAAATTCAAAACCGTTGCCTCGAATTTAAGCTCTCGCCATGCAAACATACAGCCAACTTCAGTCAAATACACACAAAAATATACCTCCATCTGCTAGGAATGACCACTGTGTTTAGCCTGAGAGCAGTTTGCGGTGATCGGATAAAGAACACTTTTGCTCTCTCCCCCTCTCTCTCTATCTTTTTCATTCTCTCTTTTTATATCCCTCTTGCGTGCTCGCTAATGGGCTTGCAAAATAGGGTAGAGGTGGCGGAGATGAGCTGCACACCTTTGTGCCTCCTGTTGTTCTAAATACCTCCCTTTTAGGTGGAAAACAGCATTTGAATTCAGAACTGCTCACAGCTGAAATGAAATGCTAATCTCACCCCACGTTTTATTCTTTCCTGTTCTCAGCTGCTCTCTGGGCTCACCATATGCCGTAGCTATCGCAGAGTTCCAGGAAAGCATTCCGGTTCCAGAAGGAGCGCAACACTCAGCCTCAAATCCGAAAATTTGCGATATTTCACATTAAATTGAGTCACGTTGAATTGCATCCAACTATGTACGTAATTACACGTGCTGATGTGTGTGTAATGAAGATTACATACAGTTTTAACGTAGTTGTGTGCATTAAATGAGAGCTTGTGTGTGTGTGTGTGTGTGTGTGTGTGTGTGTGTGTGTGCACTGGTGAGTGTGTCTCTGTGGTTATGTTTCTATTACTGGTTTGCCGTCATAAATATTAATGTAAAACATGCTGACCTTAATTTCAATTCTGTCTGCTGGCAAATCTCTCCCCTCTCACCCACTCACTAACTTACTGAGAGGGACAATAGAAGTAGACATGGCCAATGAACCCTCATTATGCTGTTTTTTTTTCTCCAGGTGGAAGGATTGTTGAATGAATGGATGAGTATATGAATAAATAGATGATGTAGGTGAATGGGCATAATAGATTTAGGCAATCAAATCAGTAGAAAGCAGATGATGTTTTAATTTCGATGAGATCCTAAAGTGCTGCATGAATGTGAGGGGGGATGGCAAAATTCAGGTGAAAAGTCACATGAGAGAAGGTGTGTGATTGGCTGACTTCCCTGTCAATGCAATAATGGCTGTCTACCATTTTCACAATTGGTCTGTAAATCGGAATGGGTCAAACTGGTGGAAATGGACAAAATAATAACTCTAAACAACTAAACTAAACAACCTAGAGCCACTTTAGGTTGGAACTGGAATCTGTGAGTGAGATATTTTTAGTGAACAAGCAGCTCAGGTAAATTAAAGGTGCACCCATCAGCCTGTTATGTTTGCCTGTTAATAAAAATAAAGTGACTATTAATAATAGGTAAAAAAAAATAAATAAAAAAAAAAGATCAGCAGTATCATATAAAACATGCAGTTTACTTTTTTTAAACCAATGTAAAAAATATTTTGATGTTGGTTCTAAGACATAGTATTTACTAAAGCCAACTGACATGGAAGTATTTTCACATTGGTTAAAAAGAACACTTTTTGTGTACTTTAAATTAAATTATACTGATCAGAATAGACTATTATTATATTGTTTGCTTGAGTGTAAAATAAATGGTGTCCCATAAGCTTTCAACTAGGAAACCACATAATTATTAAAAAATAATAATAATAACAGGAAGGTGAGTTTACTAAAAATCCCAAACACAGTAAAGGGACTTTGCTTCCTCATTTCAGAAGATCACGACTTGCTTCTGAGTTGTTCCAACTGTATCATGCGCTGAAGTTGATCTAAAGAAACTTCTAAAGCATGCTGGGAATCTTCACAGGATGTAACCATGGGGTGGAACAGACTTTCCACTTCCACATCTAATTGCTGAGAGTGTTTGTCTACTCTCAAATTAAAGTTTTCTCGCTCCGTTCACAGCCATACAAAGTGTTATTCATCTGAACACTCTTATGAACAGACTAACAGTCTGTCTGTTTGTTTGTTTGTTTGTGTGTTTGTTTGTTTGTTTGTTTGTTTGTTTGTTTGTTTGTTGTATATCCGGAATAAAAATGTACCCCCAACCTATTGACTGCATCCCATAAGCATCTCAAGAGTATAGGAACCATGGAACTGTACCTTCCTCTCTGCGTGTATATATGTGTGAGTGTGCACGTGTGTGTTCAGGTTTCTAAATGATATCTTCTGCATGCTCAGATGCTCCTGAGCGGGTGGCGACACCTCCAGAGGAAGCTGATTGACAGCTTGGCAGTGATAGCAGCAGTGATTCTGGGAGTAGAGAAAGTGAGGGGGAGCAAATGGAAAGAGAAAGACTAAAATGATTCGTATAGATGAGAACTGTGTGGATTCGTATCTTACAGTTGGACCTGAGTCTGAAGGTTTTGGAATGAGTGAAGTCTTGTGTGATTCTATCTGAATCTAAAACTCAATCAACAAAACATGATTTGCATGGTGCACTAATTTGTTCCTTTTTTCCTTTGTGTTTCAGGAACCAAACAGTTTAAACTACATTTTAAAGATTTTAAAGTAAATAAAATTATGATGTAAATGAGGTAGTTTATGCATCCTGGTGTATGGAATGTTTTAGGGAAAAAACATCCCTAAAATCTCTTTATCCAAAGATTTGAAAGGTTCAGATTTTGACTATATATGGAAACTTCTAGAGGTTCCAAATATGATGCGAGTTATAGAACTCTTTAAAATTCTGTAGAACCATTTCTTCTGTAAAATATGGTGATTCAATGTAAAAAGGGTGTTTGATTTTACATTCTCTCTGCTTTTGGATAAAATGAGCTTGTTCTGTTGTCCTTACATTTGTTTGAACAACTGTTTGACAAAAGTAAAATTGTAATTTATACTCTTAAAGATCCAATAATATCCTTTTGATGAGAAATTGTAGTATTTGTTAAGCTCATTGAGATGCAGTGGATTAATTGCCTTGGATTTGTGTTTTAAGTGCTACTAGACAGCGGTGTGTGCAGCATAAGCCTATAAACGCAGAATCCATTAACACATTGAAACAAACAAAACAAAACACAATCTGTTTTTCAACTAATAGAGTTTTCAGAGAGGAGTAAGAGGAGCTGTTTTACTCTGATAAATGGCTCATGTGCAACACTATACATCAACACTAATTCTATAGAAGAAAATGTAGGCTAAATTAATTAACATTCAATGAGAATTTACTTTGTAAACCGATGAAATAAACCTGTCACCATTACAAAAACGAACTCATGCTTCATTTGCCACGAGAATTCAGCTCAGTTAAATGCAAAAACAAGAACTGAATCAATATTTTTTGACTTTGAGAGAGTCAGATAAGAGTTCAAGTTTTACTTTATCCAGTTTTGGAAATGAGAAAAGATAGAGGCAGGATTCAAGAGCAATCCAAACACAGTGATGTGCGTCAGTGGGTGGAAATAATGAATGCAACTCAACTCTGTCTTCACACAACTAAAGTTTTCTATTGAAACATAAAGTCTTAAAAAAAGATTGGAGTATCTCTCTGAACCCTTGTGTTTCACAATACTTCAAGTTCTCACTGTAACTTTGACTGTAATGTATGTGAAACTCTGAAACACATGATGCTGTGCTTATTGCCTTTCTCAGGTGCCAAAGAGGTGAATGCCAGTGGCAAGACTTTCACAGTGAAGAGCTCCCTTCAGCTCCTGGTGAACCGGCATGATGACGGTGTGGCCTACACTTGTAGAGTGGACCATGTGGCCCTAATTGCCACCCACGAAGAGACCACACAGGTCTTGGAGGTCCACTGTGAGTACAGCTGGGTCCCGACTCAAACCAACATCCCATGATGGTTAGAACCATAAACCTAAATCCACAAATGTGAAACTGCTTGAAGTCTTTTACAAAGTAATGAGTTTAAAAAGTAAGGAAACACTTTGTAAACTTTTTAATTTTGAAACTCTTTAAATCATTTTACCAACCAACCAATCAATCAATCAATTGCTAGCTTAAGACATGGACAGCTCTGCTCCCCATCATTAGAATATGGAAAAAAAATTACTGTACTGACCACACTGCAAAAAATTGATCAATCAAACAATCAATCCATCAGTATTTTTGTCTTGCTTTCCAGTGAAAATGTGTAAAAATTCTTAAATCAAGATACATTTACTTGTGAAGCAAAATGGCCTAAGATAAAAACAAAAAAGTCTTGTTTTCTGAGAAACCGATCAAAATGACTAAAGCCACAAAACACATAATTTTGATTTCATCGGGTTTTCAATGACTTATTAAAGTTACTATGAAAAGTAATTTTGGCAACTTTTAAATCCTGAAATTTGGTGTTTTGATGCAAAGATTATGCAATAATTACAGACAAATATAATTAGAGTTTCTCTTTGAAGTGTTGACATTTAATCAGTCTACTGAGATGCAGTGGAGCACTTGGGCCTGAGCAACACGTCACATCATTTATCTTTTGATCTCCGTGGAGTGTCATTCCTCCACTTGGATGCTGCTGTCTGAAACAATATTTCTTTGTTCGTCTCTGTGTCTCTGTCATAGATGCTCCCTATGTAGAGATCAAACACTCCATACCAGCCCCACTGGAGGGGCAGTACCTCAAACTGGAATGTGTACCTCATGGAAACCCCTCGTAAGCATTCACAATTTATCAGCATCTTGTTGAATTATAATGTTTGCAAAGAGCTTTGGGAAGATGCGTTGCATATCTACTGCACCAAGGAGAAATTGCCCTGTGGGCAGGCCTGCGGCTAGCAGCTTATAACCACATGCTTGCATTAATGTGATGACTCATAAATGTGATTCTGTTGAAATTAAACAGCTATGAATATATAACCATAAATTCACACGGAAAACAACATTAAGAAGCTCTTAGCCATTGGTACAACTGAAGCTAAAATAAGGCCAGTGTGTTCTAATATTCCCAAAGAAAAAGGCTGACAAATATCTTTGATAAACTTGGATAATCCAAATTGCGTAGTTTAAAGCTAAAGTTGAAAACTTTAAAACTCTCTCAGTGAATTTTGCTTTCTCAAAGCCTTTGCTGTAACTTTTGTGGTGTTGTCTTTCCATTGATTTTAGCATTAAAGGGGTCATATCATAAGGAAACCAATTTTCCTTGATCTTTTGAGATCAAGGAAAGGAGATATTTTGTGAAAAGTCTTGTATAGGAAAACATACTGTAACTTTCAGAACTCAAACGCTTCAGAACTTTTCGCTGTAAAAAAGACTATCTGTTGACACTTAAGCTGCAAAAATGGCTTATTTTGTATTTCCATAATATTCCAATATCATATGAATACATCTGAATTCATGCAAACATATTATCCCTCATTTATGTCAACAATGCCTTTTCAGTGTACAGATACTCTGTCTACCCAGTCACAGTGAAGTAATAGTGAGGAAGCAAAACCAAGGCTGCCAAACCTTGTGTTGTTACTGGCTGTGTGTTTGCGCCTACAACTCTGCATATCCTTGTGCTACAGTAAATGTGCCAAAGATTATTACTGAAGAATGGGATATTTAAAAACTAAACTAAATAATAATAAAAATAAATAAATAAAAATAAACCTAATTATTAAAAACATTTGTGATATGACCTTTTAACGCATGTTCCATCATGGAAAAGAAACTGTTAAAAATCAATGTTTCATCAGGCCAGACCCAGTACTCTGGACTAAAGACGGAGGAGAGCTGCCAGACCTGGACCGGGTGATTGTCGAAGGAAGAGAGCTCACCTTCATGTCACTGAACAAAACAGATAACGGCACCTACCGCTGTGAAGCTACCAATCACCTCGGCACTAGCCACGCTGAATATAAGCTGGTTGTTAAAGGTGAGTGACAGACAGATTGCATTAACCTGTCTGTTAAAGCTAACACAGCTCTTGCTGCTGTCTTGGAAAGCATCTGCATTGCTAATTAAACCTACGTTTCTACCCTGCTAATAAATTTCATTTTATTTTAACACCTTTGAAAGATGAAATGCCTTGAAATGATTGCTGGCCTGAAAATCAAAAATATTTAGCTTAAACGATTAATTCAGCCAAAAATTGAAATTCTGTCATCCTTTACTCACCCTCATGTTCTTCCAAACTAGTATGACTAGTATGATTTATTTTGCAAATCACAAAAGAAAACATTTTCAAGAATGTCAACTGTTTGGAAACCCAAACTTTCAAACTTTATTTTGTATCACCATATTTGTTGTAGTCTTTCTATGCGCGAGTTGACCAGTGTTTCGATTTGATTTGAGAGTGAATAACGGCTTAAATTTCAATCTCTTCATCATACAAAGTAATCATATTGTTTCAGAAGTCTTCATACAAGTTATGGATTAATTTAATTTAATTTATGGAATTCATCATATTCATAATATTGGCAAAAGTTAGCATTCTGTGCTACAGAAGAAGAAAGAAAATCAAATGCGCTTGAAAATAAATGATGACAGAATTTTGACAGATTTTGAAATATTCCTTTAATTTAGTGACAATTTTACAAAGACATATAATCACCTCTGCATCATAAATCTTGCACAAACAATGTGTACATATGCAGCAATCCATTTTTCTTCTCTGACTTCATTTAAGAGAATGAGTTTCACCCACTTAGCATAACAGCAAAGCATGATGGGTTTAGAGGCTACACTGCATCCACATCTGCCATCTCTTTCATCAGAGGCAGCTGTGTGGATACACTCACATGCTAAGAATGGATATGACTGTGGGCATCAAGGGGAAGAGTCTCTCCAGCCCCCCTGCTTGTGCCTTTGCCTTCTTGACACTAAACCCCTCCAGGCTGGAAAACTCTTCCTCCACCTCTCCGTTCGAGAAGTTTATTTTTTCTCACGTTCTCCTTCTATTTCGGCTTTTGTATCCTCCCACAGGGCGTCTTAAGAAGATTTAATTAGCAGTTATGGTGCAGTGTAGGGGTCCAGCCAGTGGCTCACTGAAATGTCAAGACACTATAACAACAAGGAGAACCAAAGCTCTTAATGATGTTGATACTATAAAACTGACACCTTCTCTGTAGGAATAAAAATCTAATTGGGTGTCACAAATATAAAGCACCATGTCTGAATTCATTACTGTCTTTTTAAATGGCAAAACATGATGCCGTCCTTCCAACAGTGATTAGCACAAAACCTGGAGAAATATAATGGTCACTGTCCTTCATCAGATCACCTACCTTGTATTGTGCCAATTGAAAACGCAATATCGCCTGCATGCAGCCGATCGCTTTAGGCAGAGGGCTGCCATGTCAGTACGGTACTTGAGTGAGAAGTATAGTCAATATTATTATTCAAATCTCACCCTTAATTAAAATTGGGCCATGACATTTAAATAAGATATTAGAGCAGGCCAATAGTATCTAGGCTGTTTGAACAGGTTTGAACACTTTAATAAATCTCTATATCCCCCAACTAAAAACAAACAAGAACCAAAATGTCATGATCTGCTAGTTCCATAATCTAAACTTTTAAAATGATCACAATTTCTGTTATATAGTTAGGGGTTTTAACTGTGATTTTCTGCAACACCAGTTCATCAAACAGAAAAATAATGAATGTTTTTAAAAGTTTTCCAAACACCTCCGCCGTCTACAATTGGTTGGTCAAACCAGTTGCAGGCTCACTCTGTTGGTTGAGTTAGTGTTGCTATGCTGGGCTGGCCAGATGATCAAACGAAAAAAATATATGTTTATACTTTTGGAGAAATCAGCCAATGAATGGCTTATTTGTAGTCTCTGCATATTAATATAGTAGAGAATTTTATTTATTTATTTATTTATTTTTTGGTTACATCCAAAACATTACTCAAACTCTTCCGCCATACAGAGAAATGCTTGCAACCCTGCCATCTGCAAAGACATCATTCAAATTTCAACTTTTTAAATGATCAACTATTGTATGTATATGTTAACATGTACATAGCTGATAATTTCACAAGAGCAGGTGATTTTGCACAGGAATGACTTGAATAATATCTTTGCACATTTTTCTGTTTGGTTGAAGTGTTTCTTCATATCCCTGGGCAGGAGTCTTCTGTTATGTGCTAAATAACTTTCAGAAAAAATATATATATTTTATTAATTTAATACTAAATGCATTATAAATAATGTACTTTGGATACCAAAAATACACCCCGTTTTATCCTTTTCAAAAACTCCCAAGGCTCCAGCCATCATTAGTGGTGTTTGATTAGTTTAAGTATTAAACTATGTGTAATTCATCCTGCATTGTTTGTGCTACAAATGTGAATGATACATCAAATAATATGGTTTGCTATTACTTTTCTAAGTGATTGGACAGTAAAACCGCTTGAAACAAAGCCAATCCGCAAACAAAACACACTAAAAAAAAACACAATGCCCTGAGTTTTGTATGGTCTGGCACCACTCATATTTTCCTCTGAGGATTAAAAAATCTAGCCGCGAGCTGCTGTTTATGAATGTCGGCTCCTGGAACCTGTGGTCTGTCAAATTTCTAGTTAGCCAGAGCTGGTAGCTGCTGTGCAATTTTGAGCTATCAGTTGGATTACTCTGCTTGTCTGCTTGAGTCCATTAGTACGAAGGCAGACTGGTGATTTAACTTATCAACTTGAGCCCAACTCTGCTGTTGTGTCCTTATCATTGCGCTAAACATGCTCTATGCATGCAAAGGGCTGCCAGCATTACACTGATTGTCGAACCAAAATCTATTTCAAGAGGCTTGAATGATACCTGCTGTTTTTAAAAGCATAAATCACTCAATTTAAACTGCACCTTGAAATTGTATGAGATTAAAATAGATTAGTGTGAACTTTGCTTTTGTGTAAGAACATTTTAGCTTGGCCCCCTTTACACCGAAATCGCATTCAGGGATCAGAGATAGATCCTGACATACATTCAACAAAGGGGTTAATGCTGTTTTGTTAATGTTTTTTTCATTATCCACATAAATTTATGGAATATTTAACATACAGGTTGAACAATAAATAATCATTATCCGCTACAATTTTCTGTCATGCTCTTTGTAATAATCAAGTACAATCCAATCACACTGGAGACCTGATACAAGCGAAAATTAATAATAAATACATTTTAAAACAATACTTTTTTTGACATTTCCTTTATTGTGTAACAATTGGCATTTAAGCTATCTGTGGAGTATTTTTCACCATTTTGACCAGTTTTGATCTGGTCTGGCACCCAGACTATCCTAAATTAATTTCACCCATCTAGTAAGAGTTGGCTACTGTTACAGGTGTAAAGCTAAATATCCATATACTATTAAAAAAAAAGCATGTTAATGGCAGGTGTAAACTGGGCCTAAGTCTCTTGACCTCTTGTTAAAAAAAAGCTTTACTTTTACAGGAAAACACCAGCTGAGTAGCATCTGCTCTTTTACATTTTTAAAGATGCACTAATCCTAAGCTCCAAACTGCCCTGATATAAAGATGCATTATCAGGAACAAAAGGCTTGTTATGGTGATTGTTCTTCACATTTTGTCCAGCATGTCAGCTGTGCAGACCACTTTTGATAGTTCATCAAATGTTGATGCTTTTCTCCCTGCATGCGGCTTGTTTTTTCCTAGCATTTTGTGAGCAAAACTGTCACTTTGATATATTATACACAAACCGAACTCATTATCCGTAAACATCATAAAGAAAGACATACATTTCTGGAATGTCAGGTGTCCTGTGCATGTGTGCATTGTTAAATTAAACCCATTCAGTTTTTATTTGCATTCTGTCAGCATGACAACTATTGTGTTTCATTTGTTCCATTGTTATAGGAATGTTTTCTTCCCCTTGTCATTGTTGTTTTGTCTTTTATCCGTCCTTTTTTTGTTTACATGTTTGTTGTCATTGTTGTTTGTCACGTACAACAGATGCCCCCACCACATCGTCACAATCTACAACTTCCCCTGCACCCACCCTCCCAGACACTACAGGTCCCTTAGACTCCAAGCATCTCAATTCTGCTGTCACCGGTAACAGAGGTACTGTACAACCCCACTGCCCTTCCTCCTTTTCCTCCTCGTCTCCCTCACATACCTCCCTCTCCATCCCTATATCTCTCTTTCTTTTCCCCAAGCGAGTTTCCTCTGACTGAAGTCTGCAGCTCCAAGGACATCTGGAGTGTTTTTGTACCCAACAGTCACTCTGCACCTTTGCGTGTCCTCGTTTAGTTCCTATCTCTTCCTTCCACCATCCACTTGTTCTAACTATGATTTCTAGAATCTCAAATGTGACAGTTTGAGCCCTTGCTGTGTCTTTATCTTCCATCAACCCATCTTATTAAAGTACGGAGCCCCACACATGGCATGCAGGAAAAAAATTGTAGGCTAAATCATATGCATGATTTACTATTTCGTTCCCTCGATTTATAAATTGTGCGCACGATTTACTAATTCGTTCCCTCGATTTGCTAAATCGTGCACACGATTTATAAATCGAGAGAATGAATTAGTAAATTGTGCGCACGAATTAGCAAATCGAGGGAACGAAATAGTAATCGTGTGCACGTTTTAGTACATCGAGGGAACGAATTAGTAAATCGTGCGCATGATTATTATTATTTTTTTCTTGCTTGTCATGTGCGGGGCTCCGTATTAATGGTATGAATCAACAAAAATGTTTTTTTTTCCGTTTCAATCCTGTATTTTTTTTTTCCATGGAACACAAAAAGATAATTTAAGAGTAAGTTTTGTACACTGAAGAAAAAAAAAGTGTAGAAACAATTTTCATAATTGCTACTAAGTTTCACAAATACAAAGAAATGGCATGTAATTAAATGTGAAATGAACTCAAATAGTATTTTCTTGTAAAACATACTCAAATCATCTTTGTTTTGGAGTTTGTGCATCTTGAGAGGGTCTGAAGTTCAGACCCTGAACAACAGTCTCCATCAGTTAATACCTAAACACCAAGCCTGTAGGCATATCGGTACCATGTGACATAAGTGTTCTTTACATCCTTGCAGTGATCGTCCAGTCTACGGAGTATCAGGGTCGGTTTTGTTTCTTGTTTATGAATGCTTCAGCTAAATATAGACAGTGCGATTTATAAGGTGTATCTACATTTGTTCGCACTCCCCATGGACTCTCCATAAGGTTGTTTGAATGTCTACCTATTTTCATGCTACTTGTGAGGGGTGCAGCCCTGTTGTTGCAACTTTGAGTTAAGTTTGTAAACTAAAACAAAAAGGCTGTGCTTGTGTGCATGGTATCCTCATTGTTCAAGTGGCTTACTTGGTTAAATTTGAGGATAACTTGGACTAAACATGGGATTTTGTGGTCTTTGATACAAGATTAAAGTTTATCCGGCATCAGTATGTTCCTATTCTTGAAGATATCCCAGTTTTATGCCAGGTTATGCTGAAATTATCCTTTAAAACCAGAATCAACCAGGATGGAATCAGCAACTTGTGAAGAAATACCGCACATATTCCCTCCGTCGAAAAGGATTTCTCTCCAAGCTTGTAATGCTCAACGTCTGCGGTGTTAACAGATCTTATTTCTCTAAATGCATTAGCAGCTCATTCTCCTGTCCACGATCAATGGGTGGCGTACCAGAGGCAAATTTCTGGCCTCATCGTTCTGCCGGGCTTAATGGAAATAATAACTCCTCAAAGAAACACAGGACCCAGACGATGCCATCAGTGCGTCTCCCGTCCCTGTTAAATCTGCCAAATGTGTTTTTATGGCTTGCAAATTAGCTGTGACCTTATGAAGCTGAAAGGTTGAATACAATACCAGGGATGCTGAGAATTTAAAATATTTACAGCTCACTTTTCATAATCAGCATGAAACCGCCCTGCTGTAGACCCCTGCGCCGTTATTGTCCCACAGAGACACTTTTACAGGGATAATGATTGGTCATGCCTTTTGTCTTTAGACAGGGAGAGGAAAGTGCAGAAATTTATCTGTTTTAGGGAGGGTCTGGGTCTGGGTTCATTAGCCAAGGCCAGAAATGAAAGGAAGGACAACAAAACGCAGCAGTTTTGCAAAATTACTAGAAAACTTTTCAAACTTGTCCAGCGTCTGCCAAGAATTACCCGGCTTAATTGGATTTAACTCCAGGCTCCAGGACGTAAACAGAGAAGGGGCTATTGTGGAAGTACTGAAGTTTTTGAAGCTTTGAAATATGTTGGCTTGAAAAAGAGACCAATTATTTCGAATTATTTCCTATAATTTCAGATGTAGGTCACTGTGGATTCCTCCAAGACCCTTTGTCAAAAGAGACACGTTATACATGGCTGGAGACTGCAAGGAGTCTCACAGTGTGGAGTGGAACATATGTTTCTTGAAGCGTTGACCAGAAACCCAGCAATTACTCAACATGGCCACGCCACAGGAGCATAATAGGCAGACGTGGGCCTGTCAGTTGAGGTCTGGATACGGCCTTGTGCATGGGCTGTAATCCCAGTAAGAAGCAAGCAAATGAACAATCCTCAGAGAGTTATTTGTTCCAACACTTTGTTCCTGGTCTGCAAGCAGTGTGTGCCGCCTTGGAAAGCTTTGTTCAGCCAATTTCTTGCTTTACGAGAAGTCTAAAGCCCCGTTTGAGTTTCTTGAGTTATTTCTTCAAATCGCATGAATGCTTGTAGCTGTGCATGTGTGAATCACAAGGCAATTCTGCATGGTTAAAATGACAAAGTAGCCATGGTGATTTGCTTATAAACTGCACATTCATGTTCCAGTAAAAATTATAGTCTTTTAATTTTTGAAAAGATGTTTCAACCTTAGAACTAAAACCCTTTAAGAGAATTAGGAAAAAACTTTTAAAATGTACTTCATATTGTTCCTTAATGCATTTGACATTTGTTACCCATGTGAAAGAGATAGAAAGAAATGCATTTTTGTTGGTTAGCAAAGTGCAAAGATTACACAAGCATGTCATTTTATGATTGAAAGTGATGGAGGGAAATTGCAGCATTTTTAATTGGTTTTTCCTAACAAAATAAAAATAGATTAAGAACAAGAATATTTGCAAAATTGCCCATATTTTAAATTTATGAGTGCAATATACAATTACTGTTTGGCTACATTTTATCTGAAATTTGAATGATTTTTGCCAATTAACCTGAAAAATATGCTTATGTTTAACATGTCCTGCATAATTAGTTAGCACAGAGATATGCATTTTGTGATAGGTCAGTTATGTGTAACGGCAAGGCACAAAGCACACCTAGGGGTTTAGGAATAATGTGAAATGTGGGAGGACTCATTATAACCCTTATCAGCTTGGCTCATGAATATTAATTAGGTGACTTAACTTTTGTCTGGTTTGTCCTTGCTAAATAGCTGGTAAGTTACACTTACACAGAGGCTTCTGCTTGGTCTAAAAGTCTTCTAAATTGCAGCCAGCTGCAATTTTCTTTCTTGGCACAGCAGCAAAGCTCTTAAAATGTAATCATTATCTCCCAAAAAAGTGGAGGGGAGACACTTTAAAATATCTAAAAGTGATATAATATTTGCAGTGCCCCTGGGCACAGTCCATCTCTGAAATTTTTACCAACATTACTTATCCTGTATGAATTAACGATAAACATTACAGTTACTTTAGAGACATATATCCAGAATACAAATCCCGAATAGGTTTAGAAGCACAGAGAGAGAATTTCATCTTGGAAATCATTCATCCTGCTGCTTATTCTCAATAGAAGGATTAAAATGATTTTGAACCTCATATCAATGAACATCTCAGAATTATTGATTTGAACTCCAAGAACGGTGCGTTCCAGAATGAAAAAGCATTTCCTCGGAGGGGCTACCAGAGGACACCAGCAGAAGCCGGCTCTGTTTAAATGGATAAGTCAAAGTTTCAGCTGCCGTGTACCTGGAGGGTCAGTTAAATATTGAGAAAGGAGTCCTGAGCGCCCTCCTCTCTCTCCTTTCTGAAAATGACACAACACAGGAGGAATTAAAATGTAATGCAAAGGTCTTTTTCCTCGGTCACGCAGCGCGGTTATTGATGATCTGTCACATTAAGTCATGTCGAGGGAAGACTTATGGTAACAATTTAAAATATAACAGGAAAGGAAAAAAGAAAAAATCATTAAACTCTGCCACCGAATATGAATTACGAATAAGACTCTCTTCATTCATTTTGTTTCCGTGGAAAGGAGACACTTTTAAGTAATCCTCTGGAAGCCTTGAGCTACTTTAATTTGCTGAAATGAACTCTCGCCATTTCCCAGCATTCACTGCAGATCGAGTTTGAAGCACGATGGCCTAATTATGAATATTACAGTGTAACATCCAAATCATTCAGTAACTTGCCTGCTCGTGCATCTCAGTGGAGAACACCTGTATTTGTTTTCTTTTTTCACCCTATTTGGGTTCAATCATTCTGTCTCTCTCCAGACACACTTTTTTTTAACCACAATTAGAAGCTGTAATTTGTTTTGAAAATCTAATTAAACTGTGCTGACCAATTCAGCGGTCCGCCTTTGCCCCTGTTTGACTTTAGATCAACTCTCAAGAGCATCCGGTATGTAAATCAGCCCTCTAAAGACTCACAGGTCATTTAAGAGGTTGCTGTGCTGGGCAAAGGGATGTGAAAGACCGACAAGGAGCATTTAGCTATTTTTCTCTTTTCTGCATGGATGGAGAGTGGATTTGGATGTTTAATGTTGATTTCCTAGATTGGGCCCCCATGAGGGCCACACAACTCAAATATAACAGCCTCTTTTTCTTCCTGGTAACAGTTTTCCATTAGACACAACTGTCAAATGTTCTTTCTCAGCAGAAAATAAATGGGGAATAATTGACTTATTAAACAGTGCATTAAGCCAATATTTATATATTTACAGAGTCCTAGAGACATCTAATATTATTTAATTGGCTGGCTTTTACTGCAGCCGGTGTGCCATGAAGAGAAATGCACATGCAGAAAGAAAACAGGAACTATAGGATCTTCAAGTCTGATGCAGAATATTCATATGCCTTCCTAGACAGAAATGACACTATAATGTGCATTAACTGGGAAATCAGCC